GCCTGTTAACCAAACACTTATGTGTGTGCGCAATACTTCAGGGTTGTTGGTAATTTCCTGCTGAGTCGTTATTCACAAGAAACCGCTCAGCCTCGTCTGGGTGTGTCTGTGCTGCTTCCCCCTCTACGATGTCATACACTCTGTGTGTAGCCGTGGCAACACTGTAAGCAATATAATGACGCGCGCACACACACACACACACACACACACACACACACTGCTCTGTGGCTCATCCACTCTTAATATTCAGAGGGTTTCATACAATCAAGATATTGCACCTATTTTTCCTCAAAACATTAACAGGAGGTATCATTTGCATTACCCACTGCCACACTCCATACAGCCAGGGCCTCACCTGTCACCCTCATACCCCTTACCCTCACCTGTCGTCGCCGTCATACCCCTTACCCTCACCTGTCGCCGTCATACAGCTTACCCTCACCTGTCTCCGTCATACCCTCACCTGTCTCCGTCATACCCTCACCTGTCTCCGTCATACCCTCACCTGTCTCCGTCGTACCCTCACCTGTCGCCCTCGTAACCTCACCTGTCGCCCTCGTACCCTCACCTGTCGCCCTCGTACCCCTAACCCTCACCTGTCGCCCTCGTACCCCTAACCCTCGCCTGTCGCCCTCGTACCCCTAACCCTCGCCTGTCGCCCTCGTACCCCTAACCCTCGCCTGTCGCCCTCGTACCCCTAACCCTCGCCTGTACTCCTCTCTCCTGCCCAATGCAATATTAATATCCACAAATGTTACAACCCCAATTCCACGTTACCTGGCATTACAAATAACAGAACACAAACAGAAATACGATACAATATCCCCACATCCATCTTTACAGACGGGTCTTTGTTTTCTCTCTATTTCTGTGAATACTCATGAGACCAAAGGGGTTTCTATGGGATTTCTTTCTAACTTTAAACATTTGATAGTCTGAGACAAAAGGGTGTAAGGGTTGTGTAAAGCATCTATAGATTAGCAATTGCATTTTTATTGCATTTCTGTCATATTGTAAATTATTATTTTTTTTTGCATGTTTTTAAAACAAAGGTCCCTGGCTGCTACACGTGATTTCTTTTTTTAGTACGGGACAATGGATGTTTGTGTGTGAAGCTACATTGTTTGACCAAATTAAGACCAAGTGAAACTGCAGGCCAGGCGGGACACAATCAAAACCATTACAACGTGGGACACTAATAGGCAGGGCTTGACACAAATTCTTGCCTCGAGATCACTGATAAGTGACTCGGGCTGACAAAAGAAAAATAAGTAAATCCAGCTTAACTTTGACTTAAGACTTCCTGTCCATTCATTTGAACGCAGTTGATTACGAAGGCCTTTTCCCAGTGCTTCACTACTTTTCAGGATAACGTACCAGCCAGTTGCCATAATCGTACTTTGATAAGAAAATGTGAATGCTCACACTCTACTTGTGCCTCACAGACTTTAATTGGTCAGCATCACGACCATTTTTAGACATACAAATATCTGTGGACACAGCGGACACATCTTTAGTATTTCTGTAGATGATATAAGGTTGACATAATACAATAATGACGGGATGTTATTCCCTTAATTAGGAAATCTAGCCCTAAGACAAATACAAAATATGTCACATCCTTCTCAAATTTCTGTCAAATCCTATTTTTCCCTATTGTGTGGCCTAACCATTAACCTAGTGTGCAACTATCAAACGATCATCTGACAGAACTGTCGCTGCTGCACTCATTCGCCTGTAAAAGTGGCCACTCTGCTTTCTGCCAGTCAGCATTTACCTAGTCTTCAATCTTGCTCTAATTTACATCAATCTATCTCTCACCACTCTCAGGTCCTGTGGTGAATACGTGTTCACAGACAGCTGATTGTAGGCACTCAGAGAAATGTGTGACCGTCTCATTATATCTCTTTCACAAGCTAAATGCATCTGCATCAGCTGTCTGGTCCTAGAGACAGACGGAGCCCATTCCTTATTTTGGGGAACTTTACTGAAACTTTTTGTTTCCTCAAATTAGGTAATTGTTTAGACTTCTAATGACCATTTTCCTGGGGGAAACCCTAGTATTATTTGACGAGATGTAACCACCTAAAAGTTACTGAACCTGGTGAGGTGTCGGTGGATTGATGTTCACACAAACTGTAGTAGAGCCTGTCACATGCACCACTTCATCTAATCCGCTCATTGTGGATGATTAGATGAATCTGCTCATTCAGCTGGCAGCTGAATTGCATAATTTATAATTGAGGAGTTTTGTGAGTTTAGCATTTCGTCAAAATCAGTGAAAAACCTTTTGAGCCCAAGTGGAGGACATTCTCTTTATAGATGAATCTATTAATTATGTCTATTACTAAATGATCTAATCATGTGGTCTATAGGATGTCACAAAATTATGAAAATTTGACTGACAGCATTATTTTTAATTTCTCTGGATATCCAGATAATATGTTACAGTAGATATTGTAGTGAATTTTAAGAAAACAGTTGTTTACGGTAATGACTCCAAGCTGATTGTAATTAAACTTACAAACAACAATTTGATGATTTGATGCATTATTTTGCAGTCGTTGACTTATTGTGATATGCTGTGTATCTGGAAAAAATCTTGTTATCGATGTGTTTATTTTAACTATATCGCCCAGCCGTATGAATAACCAATCAGTACTTGGATCACAGCTGGCGTTTGGCTCACATCTATCTAACGGAGGCCTTGTTACTCAGATGAAAGTGGTTCATTGTTGCTTTTGGGTTCTCTTCAGACAGAGACGGTCGGTCCTGTCGTTGAAACATATTTTGTCGACTGTACTTGTGGGTTGAAAAGCGGAACTTTACAGTTCTTTGAATTCACAAATGTTTTTTGTCTCTTCCTTCCCGTCTATCTCTAATGCTGTCTTCCTGACACATCGTACTCAGTTTCCTGTGCGATTACCCACAATCCAGTGTGCCTACTGTCGGCTGTGTATTTCCGCTCTGTGGGCTGAATAGCACCACATTTGTGAGTTTTTCTGCCCTGTCTGTGTGCATGGGTAAGGGGCTTGTGTAAGTGGAAACATCCTTCTCTTGACTGCTCTTCCAATAATCAGAGCGCCTCTTTTGTCTCTCTGTTTTTCTTTTTCTCCTCTTTACCTTTTCTCCTGCCACAGAAAGAAAGCCAATTAACTTGTCCATCTGTTGTAAGGACAGCCCATCTTGTTGTAGGTGTGCAGAAGCCCCAGGAAGTCTTAATAACTACTGATGTTACAAAATCTACATTAAAAAAAGATACTCCATACCCTTTTTAATAGGTGTTTGGCCAGTGAAGCTTCAGTTTTGCAAGGCCAACTATTGACATTGTAGATCTGGAGACAATAAAACAACTAGAGTTGTCACAATATCAGATGTTCGCTATTATAGTGGCCAAAATGTAACATCATTGGAACAAAAGCTAGCAAGCAGCCGATCTCACGGCAGCCTCTACTCATTTGATCCTAGCTATTGAGATGTGAAGGCTGTCTTCAATATGTAAGGCATTGTGTAGGTGTCGTGGTTGTGGTGTTGTGTATCATGCATTTCATTTGAAAGCATTCGGTGAAATATTCTGTAGTGCAAAAGTCTTTACTTTGTCCTATCGGACTTAGTAATGACGTACGTGTCTTAGATAATGTTTGGCCTTTTTCTTCATGCGATCCTTTACTGTTGTAAAGTGAATTCTAATACTAACAAAATACTTTTTGATATTGCAGTATGTGCTCTCTCTGTAGAGCCGTTGGGGCATGTGTGAAGGCTTTTTAGGACAGTTTCTTTATCTCTGCTGTGTTTCCTACTGGGACATTATTGGGTGTAGCCTGACACCTAGCAGACAAGACATGCATTCACATCAGTGCAGTCAACAAGAGACAAAGCAAACATATCACAATGTACAGCTATAGACGTATAATGTCCCACTGTTATTTTATTTTGTTAGTATTTCACTTGAACGGTGAAGTTCACTATTGGAGCTAAGAGCCAATGAGCAACATCTGGAGGTCAGAGATGAATGGAGAGACAAGTTTCACGAGAAATACAAATAACAGAAAGTCAATGTCAAGGTACAAAGGATGAACTGTGGTCAGCAGTTATATTGATAAGTCGATGGTGTCACTTTATACTGTTAAAAAGCAGTTTTTCACAATATTGGTCCATACAGTTCACATTATGAAACCTCAAATAATTATTCCCAGCACTTATCATTGCATCTAAAACATGGCCTCGATGAGATGAAGAAGAGGAAAGAGTTGTCGTATTTTCACCCCACACCACCTTTACTACAATTGTTACATTTGCTAATATTTTGAAATTTCGACTCCTGAATATCCTGAGACTTGTGAATTGTGCGAGTGTAGATTTTGTCTACAAGCGGAGCCAAAAATAAAGAGGCTAATGCACCTCTCGGCATAGGCTTTAGATGACAGGAGAAGGGAAACATCTGTCCACAGCTGTATTAGTTCTGATTATTCCACGAAGAGACATTTGGATGTTGTTGCTCTGCAAGGACATTTTGTGCTGGACAGGTTTGAAAGTGGTGCTGCCAGCAATGTGTTTCCAAATGGGGACATTTACGGACATAGCCTGACACCTAGTGGCCAAGACACGGCAGTGTATTTCATATTTAATGGGGCCTCTTTCCCCTCTTTAAAAATGTACTGACGTCTCTCTGACTTTGACTGTTTGACTGCTGATCTCCGAGGTCTCTCATGTAATTACTACCTACCAGGTGTCTTGATTACTTCACACTCTAATTTACATGTGTTAGTTCTCCAGAGATGTGTATCAATGACGAATGCTTTGAATTCTAACGGTAATTTATTGACAGTGTTTCCCTCCGCCCTGCTGTGAATCACTCATGAGCTTCCTGGATCCATTTCCTGTCATAAATGATTTCTGTCTAATTGGTTCTTTTTCTTTCTCTCCCTCCATCTTCCTCCCCCGTCTGTTTGGTTTTTCCTTCCCTTCCGTTCCGTTTCGCTCCCTTTCATCCTTTACAGAAACTCAAACGTCTGATTCCCGATGAGGTAGGTTTGTAAATGCTTTCAACCGTCTCCTGTTTGCTTCACTTGTCCATCTGTCACTGTGAATATAAAACAACTCACCATTATGCATTTAATGTCATGTCACACAAACCTAATCCACCATAACACAAATGTTCGCTGTGCTGTGCTCACGTTGGATGTGCATGCTGTGAAGAAGATGCTCACTGAATTGCATATATCCAGAAGTTGATGTCCTGAAGTGTTTTTCATTTGGCAGTAAAACACACGTTTTGTCAGTTAAAGGAAGTCCCACATTGTTTGTTAAAGTTGAGTGTTATGTTCTGCGCCGGCCAGTGTTGACTGCATGTCATCATAAGTTTGTGTGTCAGCGTTTGTTGGCAAAAGCCTTTGACGTCTCTAATCCCTAATCACTGTCACGCTGTTTAAAGGTTTCTACTGTTAACACATGATATCCCAAAACTAAGGGAGAAATATCCCTTTGGTATTTCATTCCTGTTAAATGATTTAACATTGGTAATGACTGTGAGTTGATTAGGGATTGTTGCCTTGTTTTTGTGGCCTTACAGTAATGCTTCCACGTTACAGTTCTTCTTCCCTCTGACCTCTTTCCTCTAACATGCGTCGTGTTGTTTGCTAATCCAGTTGGAACGTTTCACCAGCATGAGGATGAAAAAGGACAAGGACAAGGAGAAGCCCAGCCATGTGCCGGCTCAGCGACACTCTTCAGCTGCCAGCTATGAGATCAACACCCAGAGTGCCATGCTGCACGACCATTCTGATGAATACGTGCTGGAGCTCTTTGAGCAGATGCTGGTGAGAAAGACAGAACGTGTGTGTGTGTGTGTGTGTGTGTGTGTGTGTGTGTGTGTGTGTGTGAGTGAGAGTGAGAGAGATTCATCTGTTGGACAATCACGTTTTCATAATCTTCCCTGAACAGCCATGAAAACTTGTACTTGATATATTCCACTCTCAAATACTTCATCACTCCCTGATGAAAGACCCTTCATGTAGAATTACCAATACTGTTAAGAGATGACAAAGACAAACTAATTGTGAAAGAGTTAACTCTTTCTCTGTGACAAAAATGTAAAGCACTGCCTTACAGCACGAAGCACAGATCTCTGTGAGACTGCTGTGTGAAATTTCTAATTGAAAGTAGCGTTGCAGCGGATCATAAAACTCACGGTTCGGATCATATCACGGATCAGAGTCACGGATCGGATCAGCGCAAATATACCTTTTTAGAGATCCCTGATCACGCTTTATTTTTGCCGCCCATACTAACTGCAGATCATTGATGATCCGTATTGGCAGACACAGATCCCTTTGTTGTTTGATAATAGCAGCTGGTCGACAAAGCTCCAGGCTTTTGGGCCACCGTCCCAAACATCATTTCAACCACTCTGAAGTCAGTGTACCATCAGGAAGTCTAAATGTTATCCTTTTACTATGTTAAAGTAATTTATAGTGTTTTTTCTTAAAGCCACACAATTCACACGATTAGGAAATAAAAGATTGTGTTTTCATTGATTAAAATAAATCTTGTCATTGGTATTTTTAATGATGTATTATAAGCTGCTGAGAGCTTAGTGTAAACAGGTCATAGTTCATCTCTAATATCTATTTATGTTGCTGTCAAAACGTGTCCTTGAAAACAACTGGATTTATTCAAATTTCTCACCAACACTACACTTTACGAGTTCCCATGTGAACACATCATGATAACGTTATACTTTACCTTCGCCCAATACTCATTTTCACTGAACGGAGCCTGAACGCATCATAATGCAATTGAACGGAACCTTCGTTCGTTGTCCGTTAGTCACGTTACCGGTCATTATCAACACAGATTGGTTGTTTACTATGTAACATTATCAGAGATCAGCGATAGAAAAGCATGAATGCTGATGTCCTGATCGCATATTTTACTGAATATCGGCGGATAATAATGTCAGTAAAACTTTATTTCACACTGTGATGGTTAACGTTGAACTGTGTAATTAATCCGCAGTTCACATGTGTGCCGAACCGTGAAGGGTGATCCGTTACACCACTAATTAAAAGTGTTTCTGAGTACCAATTCTGCTCGGTATCTTAACACATCAAAAGCACCTCTGCTCACACCTTTAACCTGAGCATCTGCTACATCTCACTGGGGGCTTTATGTTCCAATCTAGTAGAGACTAGTTGAACTACGTTGATTCAGTTCCTCACGTTTATTGACACAAAATGACTTTCGTTTCGTGTACGGTTTTTTTGTTATTCATTTTGTGAGTCTACAGATTTGTTATCATGCTATCTGCTAGTCTTTAAAATACTTTGTTCATCCTATCTCTTTCTCTTTCCCTCCTTCCTCCCATCTTTCTTCAGGTGGATATGAACCTGAATGGGGAGAAACAGCAGCCTCTGAGGGCAAAAGACATCATGATCAAACGAGAGATGGTCTCCCAGTACCTCCACACGTCTAAAGCTGTCAGTACCTAAATACGTGTTGCTCATTAGCCGACAGCTTTGTGAAAGTTACAAAGTCCTTTACGTGCCATATCGTAAACACAAAGTGCTGTATACAGTGTGGGTTTTATCTTATTCAATTTTAATAGATGATCAGATCATACAGTGACACCATTATGTTGGACTAATTGTTCTGAGAAATGTGCAGTCAAAGGCCTTTCCTTGTGTGTTTGTGTTTAGGGATCGTCTTTGGATCTACAGTTTAGGTGTTTCCTCACTCAAGCCAATACTGGATTGTTAGACACATTATACAAATGTAGATTCAATTAAATATCACAGCCATCATTAGAAGGGTCAGCTACCCTTCTAGTAGTTGGGTAAATGGAAGCAGCAGGTGTAATATAATCAAATCTGGTGAAAGTGTGTCGCTCAAAGAAGCACAGATGGGTTGCCAACACCGTTCATGTAACTGAAATAAGCCAATGAAGAGAAAACCCTACACGCAGTGCCCTTTAATCCTGCACATCAATCAATAACATCAATCATAACCTGTTGTTTGTATAAATGCAAAACACAAAGTGATTTTGTCTTTGTTGATTAGGGTCAAAACCAGAAGGAGAGCTCCAAATCAGCCATGATGTACATCCAGGAGTTAAAGACAGACTACCGGGACACACAGCTGCTGAGCTGTCTGGAATCTCTGCGAGTGTCCCTCAATAACAACCCTGTCAGGTAATACACACACACACACACACACACACACACACACACACACACACACGCAGGCTCAAACATACAGTGCATCCTTGACTGATCTTTTATGATCACTTGACTGCTGATTACAGAGTTTAACCTTAAGATAAAAAGGTGATTCTGAACTATCATAACATAAGGCTGTGACTCCTTTATTTCAAACATTACAGTATCAGGAAACATTAATAACTTAGGTTTTATCATCTGGTGATGAATCTACTTTTCAAAATACCTCTAATTCAATTTGGGGATGATGATATGAGTTTTTTGGACACTGGATCGTGGATTGTCCTGATATAAGAGGGCAAAGAGCCTATAGGCTACATACAAAAAAAATAACAAGTGATAATTGTGCTGTTGTGCACTTGTGCACTAACATGTGACAATGTCAAAAGCACAATGTACTGATCGTATTTTGTCTCTTCCAGTTGGGTGCAGAACTTTGGAGATGAGGGGCTCGCCTTGCTGCTGAATCTGCTCAAAAGACTCCAGGAGGACAAAGACGATTACCCGTAAGACACTTAAACCACAGAACAGGCGATCTCACTCGATGCGTTTATAACGTCTTTATTTATCTGTCTTCTCTCTCGTCCACCAACTAGAATGATGGGAGTGAAATGTCAACACGAGATCATTCGCTGCCTAAAAGCCTTTATGAACAACAAGGTAAGAACATTGACTGTTACTTCAGTTGCACCAAAATACCTAATCCTGTCTTTGGTCTATTGGACATAGTTGTTGCGTAATTCCTCCTCTAGAGGGCAGTGTTACACCAGTCTGACCAACAATGAAGGCAGTCGCATCATCTTTCAGATTGCTTTGAGTTTTGAGTGTGGTGACGGGTCTAACCTTAGATAATTAGTATAATTATGTTAATCTTTCACGTTTAATAACTCCACACTGGTGATTGAGTATCAATGATGTAGTTCCTGCAGAGACATCGTGATTCTGGTTATTCGGATGCATACACTGTCATTTGAACCATGAAAGCCTGTTCTTGCTGCAAAAAAATAAAATAAATCTTAAAGGAATTTTTCCCCATTCTGCTCTCTGTCGTCCTACTTCCTTCCTCTCCCCTTTAGTACGGTCTGACATCCATGCTGGAGTCGGATGAGGGCATTCCTCTGCTGGTCAAAGCCATCAACCCTCGGGTGCCTCATATGATGGTGGATGCTGTCAAGCTGCTTTCGGCCATCTCAATATTGGAACATCCTGAGAACCTGTAAGCATCAGTGAAATGTTCAGACCATGCTTTTTGAACATGTTGAACAGAAATAATGGCCCCGAACAACCAATTCTACACAGTTAAAGTCTGTAGCACAAGTCTGATACGCAGCGTTATGTGAAGTTACAGCATTCAACTAGCAACTTAGCATTGACATCAATAATTGAACAATTGCAAATCATATTTCTTTTCTCTCAGTCACCTGTATGTCAGGTTCCAATAAAAGCTAATAGAATGTGCTTTTTAGTTCTGCTTACATGTTGTTCATGGTACACTTTGTATTTACGTATTATTTGATGTAACAAGGCGTAGCAGCGTTTTATATGATGTGCATAACTGTCTGTTTTTTGCAGTCATGAGCGTGTTTTGGAGGCCATTACTGAGGAGGCAGAGAGGCGGGACATTGAGAGGTTCCAGCTGCTCCTTGCTGGCATGAAAAATCACAACATTGCTCTTAAGGTGCACATGCACACACATACTTCAACAATTATACATCCCTGTGTGTGTTTTTTTTGACGAATGACACCAACCCAGTTGCATTTGATAGACGGCACAACTCTGACTTACTCAGCTGACAAATATAGTGTTTTGTATTATAATTCTCGTCGATCCACTTGCTTGTGAAGTTGACTGTCTATTGTGTTTTTTTGCAGGGTGGCTGCATGCAGCTAATCAATGCCTTGATAAGCCGGGGAGAAGAGTTGGACTTCAGGATCCATATTCGCTCTGAACTGCTAAGATTGGGACTCAGAGACCTGCTGACGGTACAGAAAGCTCTCTTTATATATTCTCTCAAAGCGACTCGCTAACAACACACATTTTGCAAATCCTTACTCTTCATGTTTGTCTTACTCTCGATGCCTCTGTGTGGCTGTAACACACTCGTATGCTGTGTATAATGCCTCCCGACTGTCCAAACTCAATGTTTGTCACACTCTCCCTGTTATTTCCCCCCTATGCCTTTACATCCCACCGCCAACGTCCCATCGCTCTCCCTGCAGGAGGTCCGGATGATAGAAAACGAAGAGCTGAGGGTGCAACTCACAGTGTTTGATGAGCAGGCTGAGGATGACTCTGAGGACCTCAAAGCACGTCTTGATGACATCCGCATTGAGATGGAATATCCTTCCACTGCGCAAAACTGTCCCGCTGTAGAAATAGTCAGGGTCCACTTTTTGACCTGAATCTATACACCTGGTTACATCACTTGTTTTGTGTTGCTTTGCTAGTTTCGATAAGCAAAAGGAACATCCGTCATACTGTTTTTATATAATGAAATGTATGATTCACACAGTTAGGATGCAGAATTATAAGCATGTATCCCCTTCATTATAAAAATGAGTATACAAGGAGCAATATACACAAAAGCAGATTGCTCCTTTCTATCTAGTCATCAGGCTGACCACTTACTTTATTCCAAGACGGATTCAAAATAAATGTTTTCATACTTGATGAGCATAATCCTTCAGGCTCTAGGGACATTGTATCCCTGTGTGGACTTTTTTACATTAAAAATCCGTCATTGCCAATTAGCATCTCGCAGACACTTACTACTCATCTGCTGTGCCGTAAAGAACAGCAAAAGCCCCGATCACTGGTGGACTTTATCATTGCTTTATTGCCACTCTGAGTCATCTGTTTTTGTTATACAGATGGGAGCCCGTCCAATTAGGTACACAACAACAACCGAACCTACTCCATTAAGTGTTCATTTCTTTTGATCTATGTGGACGTGATGGTTCATTCTACTACTCTTAGGTGTCATTTTCAGCACATGCATATCTGACCACTTTGTGGTGGGATAACTGGACCTCACAAGAGTACTTTAATGGCTTTATTCTATGCAAATATGGTCTATCCCAATAAAACATATGTATAATTTTGTCCTGATTTGACAAAGATACATATTCACAGGGAAAAAGGCAAAGGATGCTGTTTTATCTTTATCACACAACACATACTGTGTTTGGGTGTTTGATTTAGTGTGGCGTTCAGGATGGACTGGATTATGATCAAATTTAGCCACCCTAACAGTGTTCTTTCAAAGAAATGGTTAAAAAATGAATTTCACCAACTGCTGTAATTCTCCGTTGCTTTTGACATGCAGTTATAACGTCCACCACCAGGTGTCTCCCACGGGTAGCGATGCAGTGTAAACAAAGTCTGCACTTGATGAACACTGAGCTCCGATGAGTTTTGAAAACATATTTCTGTGATCGAACTGATTGTGGTCGTTGTGCAAGACATGTTGAAATGTCAACACATTGTCCCTTTACAACAAAGATTATTCGATGGTTTACAAGTTTGCTCTCTATTTCACTTTTATTTCACTGTAATTTTGAAATGCACAAAAGCAAAAGTTGGTGTGAGACTATTGAGAGTTGTCACTGATTGTTGAAGATGTTGTGCATCGGGTGTTTAGTATTTCTGTTGACTTCTCTGTGAGTTAAGCCTTAACTGCTTTTGCTTCACTGATGCGAGGGAAGTGTTTGACATCCTAGTCAACACGGTGAAGGACTCCAAGGGCGAAACCCACTTCCTGTCCCTGATGCAGCACCTGCTGCTAATCCGCAATGACTATCTGGCCAGGTACCACAAGAGCAAATACACACATACATGTCTCACACATTCCCTTATTACAGCTGATATGTGGTTGTTTTGGAAGACTACCTACCTACTGCTGTTCCATTATGCTCATGTCTTGTCCACCATTGTCATCTATGTGTAAGAAAAACTAGATTAAGGCTAATTGTTAAAATGATCTGAATGATTGGGCGCATTGTGAGAAGCTGCATTTAGCTGCTGTATATATGTATATATGTATATATCAAAAACTGTTAAAGAAACACCCAAATAACAAGACAAAGTGAAACTTGAGATGTAGTTTCTTCCTTTCTTAGATCCCCGCTCTTCATCCTCCTCTCCCTCCTCTCAGCCCTGTCCTCCATTTGCTGTTTGTTTTCTGGAGCACCGTTCAAAGGCTGAGAAATTAATACATGCAAAGAAGTCCAATTCCATTTTAATAGAAATGAACGCCATCACCTCTTATCACCAGAAATATGCTAATATCTCTCCCTGTGTCTTCCAAAGCCCTTGGGGGTTTAGCTAAGGAAACAGAGGAGGGAGGAAGAGCGAATAATTGAATGACAAGACCGGGGTTAGAATAATAAGTCCAGAGTTGCATGGTATAATGTATGCACACACGCATGTTCTCTTCTGCTTTGCCTTACTCAATGTCACAGAAAACGGGCAAAACACACAACATATGTCGGCATGCACACATTTTAGACTGTGATTAATGTTTAGCACAGTTTAAATAATGCATTGTGAGGAGGGAAAAGTTAGGTTGGCCCACACAAATGGTCCAAGCTTAGGTCCTATTTTCTTCCACTCTCTCCCATCCATCCGATCTGTCTCTCTCCATCCAGGTGATCCAGTGGAACACAATAGAAGTGGTCTGTAACGGTCTCGATAGAGAGACAGCAGGTGTGGGAGGGAGGAGAGCTGTAGAGTGGCAGAAAATACTGCTGGATAATTACAGAGGAAGGAGGTGGAAGGCGGGACTATAATGAGGAAAAAATTGAGAGTTGAGGTAAATTGCTAGGTAGATGCAGAGAGAATGAGGAGGGACGTACGGGGGATATAAGAGTTAGCATTTGAGTGGGAATAAATGAAAGGGTACCTGCTGCTTTGCTCTTTTTACATTCTTAGTCTTACTGTGTTTCAGTCTCAAGTGCAGATTGAGGCCTGAGGACTTTGTTCGAGTACACAAGTGCACTTATATGAGCGGTCATTCACATGCTGTGCATGTACAGGACTTAATAGATGTAGTTTAAAAGTGAAATGACTTCTGTATTGTATATTCTGTATATAGCCGTAGGTCTACCAGCCACCCTTTTCCTTATATACCGTCATGTCTGAGTTTAATTCAGGCTCGTGAAGAACGCCAGATCCAGGATCCAGCAAATGCAAATCTATTTGACTTTGACTCAGTTTTCTTGACGGACACTAGATGTCTCTCTCGCTCCACGGAACAATCTGAGCTTCATGAGAAAAAAAAACCCTTGAAGTATATTGAAGGAGTGGAATAAGTGTTAGACAAAGGCAGAGTGACTAAGAGAGACAGGGGAGGGAGGGTGGCAGAATAAATAAAGTATTGAGTTTGTGACTCTGGCAGCATCTAATGGGGTCAGGGAATAAGACACCTCCAAAATTGAGTGTCTGTGTGAAGCTGGCTTGATCAGACATGGGGAGCTGGACATACACCAACGCACTCAAGAACACAGTGGCACACAATCAATCTTAGTGACAAGAAACTCAGACTGTCATGCTCACACGGTTCATGTCTGAACAAATGAACCGACTTGCTCATTGTCAGTCCCGTCCTCTGCTCACCCGATTTCTTATTAATGCAGACTAAACTGCTATTGTACAATACATACGTTTGCTATAATTGTCTTTGGGGACACAACATGCAAAGTTTATTGTAGAGAGTGACAATTTATCGTTTTTTTACCCTGCATCACATATTAACTCTCCTTCTCCATCGTTGCCCTCCTCTTATCTTCCCGCTGTCTCTCACCACTTCTTATCCACCTATCTGTAAATCTGTCACTCTGTCCTTCCTGCAGGCCTCAGTACTACAAGTTGATAGACGAGTGTGTTGCTCAGATCGTGCTTCACAGGAATGGAGCGGACCCCGACTTCAAGTGCCGGAACCTCAGTCTCAACATTGAAGGCTTGATAGGTGAGTCGTTAGACCAGAACAGACCAAGTCAACACAAAATGTACATAGACCCCAAAAAACAGCTGTCTTGCTGTTGATGATATTATTTCAGAAATTGCTCATAATACAATGTTTAATACAATTTGTAACTATGGTTCAATGTGTAGTGGCTCCAGAATACCACAAGGTAGCGCCACAGAGGGGGGGTGTGCGAGTGTGGGCTGAATTATGCTACAAGTTTCACAGTCGTAGGTCGAGGGTATAAAATGATCTTTATCAAGAGGACAAAAGCTTTATCTCAAACCAAGAAATCCCAGAGTCTGATTTCACAGTATAGTGAGATTTCTTTGTCCTCCTCCCAAGTTTGATCCCATGATGATAGGTTGGTTAGATGGTAACTCTCAGGCACTAGTGTTGTATGTATCAACATAATACAAGTGCCCAGGTACATCCCCTCTGAGGACAGATCTAAACAGAATTTTTCCAGTCTGTCTTAAAACAATAGTCGGGCGCCCATATGATCATAAAAACTGTTTTGCTTGCTGTGAGCATTCCTCTCTTTCATAGTGTCCATTTAAATATCCGTTCCTAATGCGCTTCCAAACTCGCTCTGTGCCAGAATGTTTATCTGAAGCTAATGTGAGCCTTCAGCAGTTTGAGTTAATGAAAATCAAGTACCTCCCAAAGTTGCTGTCTTTTCAGTACACAGTTCCCTCTTTGTGTCGCTACGCCTCCTCTGAAACTCTGCAAAACAGAAGGGAATTCTGAAAAGACTTTGACTTTGGGAGATGCTCAATTCATTTGATTAACTCCGACTGCTGAAGCCTCATATTGGCTTCAGATTAACTTTTGGAATACATTTTGCACAGAACGAGGACTGTCGGGGAATTGAGAGGGTCTTTTAATGGCCTGTATGAAAAGAGGAATGATTACAGAAAGCCCAAACTGTTTTGACTTGCATATGGGCACCTGACTATAGTTTAAAGACTTTTCAGGAAAATGGTGAGCCTGTCATCTTGGTGCCCATGAGTAAGACGCACCATCCCTACCAGCTTACCGGAAAGTATTATGATGGCCGCTGATCCATGTCATTTCCTGTCGCTCTCTCTATTATACACACACACATGAAATGCTGAATTTTTGGTGAAAAGTGTTGCATACTAGTAAAGTGCACGTGCACTTGAAAGACTAAATGTTGACTAGGAACCACCTGCTAACTAAACCAGAGCATAATGGAGGTGCAGGCCATGTCTCAAGAGTTCAATACTCCTTTATGGCAGGTCTCCGTTGCTCACCGCAGGAGGCTCTAATTGCACTGCTTCTAAATGCGTCCTGACACACACACACACACACACACACACACACACACACTCACACACACAGGCTGGCTGGCCTCCTTTAAGGCTGCCAGAGTTATTATCGGTGGAAAGCAGCCCAATTCTGCCCTGCATGCATTATTTAGTGTTTTTCTTTGAACTCTGAAATTCAGCACAGTTTTCTGCTACATTCTGGCTCCCTTAGTGCTCTCTATTCGAAGTTTGTCCCATTTAGCCTAGCCACCATGACAGAAGTAACACCCCCACCCCCCTCCTCCATCACACATCCAATAACCATGTAAACTCATACACAAATACACACTCGGAAATTGTATGTGGGTTGGCATATTAATGTGAAGTTCTTTCATCCGGCAAAAATCTTCTCTTTCACAAAATAGATTTCTCATTTTGCGCTGCCTTTCCTTCTAGCTTATCTAGATATAAGATATAAGTCATCTTGCATAGTTTCAACTTCCACTCTTTTCTCTTCACAACATGTAATCTACTTTTCTATTTTCGCTTCTCTCCTATCTCTGCTATCTATCCGTTTGATGCCTCCCCTGGGCATCGTGATTAGCTGTCTTTGATCCAGTGACTTTGTGGCATTCATCTTCATGCTAATTAGTTCTTTTACTGCACATGCTCGGTAAGCCCCTGGGCACTGAACCACCTGTAGGCCCTGCAATTATTCTGTAAAAGTACCCTGTTGGTCAGCCGGTGTCCTCCTCACCTTGTCCTCTGCTGAGCAGAACCTCAGATAATGGATTACTTTCAGACTGTTCTTCGGTCTTTCTTTTTTTTTTGAATCTAACAATTTGATAGAAATTGGTGTGAGATGTGTTTCGCATAGAGGGAAATAAGTGTGCTCCCACTTCTCTCACACATCCCCACAGTGGGACAAAGGTGTATGTAGTGTAGGCTTAAACGGTAATGATGTGTAGAAGCAGCGAGCAACAGATGGCACCCTGTTGTAATGAGATGCCTCCACAATCTTCTCACGGATCTCCAGTTTGAGCAGTGTGATAAGGGAAGAAATAGGGAGACAGATAGGATGCTTGCTCTGTTTGTGAATGTATGTGGGTGCGCAGTATGTGCCAGACTGAAGGGTGCGATGTCTTCATGCCCAGACGTGTGCAGGTGCACTGTCGGAAACTCTTATCTCACCCACCACCCTTTTTTTTTTTTTCTTTTTTTTTTTTTTTTTTTTTGCCTTCTTCTCTCTTCCTTTCTTCTGTCCTCCGTGTGTCCACAGACAACATGGTGGACCAGACCAAGGTAGAAACCAGCGAGGCCAAGGCTGTCGAGCTGGAAAAGAAGGTGAAATACTCACATTGGAAATCCAAAATGCACACACACACACACACACACACACAACAGCAGCATTGCCATACCCACAGACATATTTACATGTCATCCCAGAAGCCCACAAGCTATTACAATCATACATTGTAGAAGCTAACATTTCCCCACTCACGCACAATGTAATTAAATTCTATGCGAGCCATGTTTGTCTGACATGGGATGACAAATGAGAAAAAAGGAGGGACGGAGGGTGACTAATAGAATGAGCATACACGTGTCTGACAGACTAATACTCTTACAGGCTAGCATAAAACACAAGCAACACACATATGGGGTAAATGCCTTGATTGCGGTGACAGGATAATTGCAAAAAGGGAGTACAGACGAGCGTTCATTCAGACACACACTCGCATGGGATCATATCCATTGAGCACGTGTACATCCACACAAGCACGTATTAAATGAACACACTTGGATTAATTTCTGTTGAACACACACCACAGTGCTAGTTGTCTATGACGAGGTAATTGCAGGCAGTCTCTTTGGCAGGAATTAGGGATGAGGCTGTCAGGACGCTGACAGTGAGAGTAACAGATCTGCTGTCAGCTAATTTAAAAAGCCGTTTGTGTGTCTGTGTGTTCATGCAGTCATCTGTTGGAACACTCTTATCCTGTTTGTCAAGTGTCCTAGAAGGGAACAATCCTTGAATGTATGAAAGTGAAAAAATTCAAATTGGGGGTAAAATGTTTCTCTTTCTGTTTTTTCTGCATGTGAAGGCTTTAAAATGGAAGTGAGCTCATACAAGTGCACTGAAGCACCCTAACTCAGTAATTGACACTAATTTGCAGTGTAAATTATCCAATGAAACTGAAAGCGCTAGACTGCAGGAAATTGCTTCTACAAGTCTTTGAGTTACGGAAACTGCTGCAGTTTCAAGAGGGAGACTAAAAGCTTGTGCATACAGACACACTTTGTTCCCGTAGTTCATGCGAGTACCCTGGTGTTTAGCTTTAGGGTTGATATTTATATGGAGTATTTCTTTTTTTTGTTTTTGTGAAATGATTAAGCCTTCAAACACTGCTCGATCAACACTGAATCCATTCTTTGTTTCACACATCTTTTACTTTATAACAAGTATCTTTGCAGTCGTGGTGCCGATGGGACCTTTTGTTAGTGCCTGAGGGAAATCTGAGAAAATGTTGTTCAAGATGATGCTTCTTAAATTCGACCACTACACAAAAGGTTGTAAAGCCACTAAAAAGTCTGCCTAGCCCACTACGGGTAATGTAACCGAGTGTGTCTCCCTCTATGACCCTTCACATGTGTATTAGCTGGACGCCGAGTTGACGGCACGCCACGAGCTGCAGGTGGAGCTGAAGAAACTGGAGGGTGACTATGACCAGAAGCTGCAGGACTTGAGCCAAGAGAAGGAACAGCTGGCCACGTCTAAGCTGGAGCAAGACAAGGAGAACCAGGGACTAAAACAACAGCTCACCACTCTGCAACAGCAGGTACACACAAGCACACACATCCACCAACCTGTCCATGTGGGACTCAATGCCTTTTTAATTCATCTCACTCAATATCTAAATAGAAGCTGTTTGCATTTTTTTAAAGCTAAATGTGACAACGTCACTCAATAAGTTTATTTAAGTGAATTAACCTTAAAGGTATAGTTTGGATCTTTTGAAGTGTATGAGGTAATTATCAGTAGTGGTACAGTGCTACAGTAGATGGTGGTCGGCACGCCCTTAGTTTGGAGAAACACTGCAGGAGAATAGCAACGTACTGCTGTGGATGGGGCCAGCATCAACATGTATTTCAGCCACCTAAAGAAGTGTGCCGACCACCATCTACTGTAGCAGGAAGGTAATACACACTCTATGGATAAGTACCTCATCCCCCATCAAATAAAAATTGCGTTGAACCCAGTTTGACACTTCCAAAAATCTTCTTGGAAAGTTGAGCAGCTCAAACTGATTTCATACAGAACTCCCATCATTGCTTGATGCCGATATAAAAGAACCAGAACATGAGGACAGAATCGATAAAGCTGGAGTCAGATAATTTAATCAGTCTGGTTTAATGTCCCAGAAACGCATACGGAAAGAAAGAGAAAACTTCTGCTAAAACTGCAAGAAGTAAAATATTTTTAGGCTGATAGATAAATACAATATTGCAGAAGTCCAAACACCAAAAAGTTGTCCAACAGCCATGCACACCCACACAAAAGCCCCATGGCCTTAAATGATTTAGCCAACTGCTTGAAAAACGGAAACAAAAAAAAAAACTAAAACGATATCGTGCGTGCTCGTGTGCTCGTGTTTGTACACTCGTACAGTCGGGGGGCAAAGATGAGAATTGTTTAGCTGTCAGTGTCCTGCTGCCACACCAGCTGGACTTTGCCTCACAGTGACACCCGAACTCACAAACAAACCAAGTGACCCAGAACAGTCTGCCTCTGTGCATGTGTGCTCATAACCACATGAAGATGTTCCTCTGTCTGTCTGTGTGTGTGTGTGTGTGTGTGTCTCTGTCTGTCTACAAGAGAACTAAACAGCTTCCAAAATGAGCTTCATCCAAAGTGGCTGATGCCAGCACAGTCATCGTCCCACCACGCAAAAGCCCAAACACGCGCATATGCACACAGTTGTCCAATGCATCAGCGGCATCGCCATCCAGGCATCAGATAAGCTTGCATACTAAGATGGCTCACTTTCTCTGCGTTTGAGGCGCTGCCCATCCAAGATTTCTTCACATGTAGAGATCTCTCACTGTTCCTCCGTGTGATGCGGTGCCCAGCTCTTCATCTGCTGCCTCGCTAAGAAAGCTTGCCTCAGAGGCCCTTTATGTCTGTTACTGTCTTCTTTTCAAAGTCCAAGGAAACGACACAAACAATTTGTCACGCAGCATACGGACACTTCACATGCGCACCGTTTACACTTTACACACCTAAGAAGAACACATACAGTAAGTAACTTTTAAACGTTTTTAATCTTGTATAGTATACTCCCATTCAAAGCCCAGTCCTCTCTCATGGACCAGTATTAGCCGGCTGACTTAAATGACTTGGACAGTTTTGGACAAGTATTGGCTCCTCGCTGATGTAAATACTGAGATTAGTATTTCAGTGTTGAATAAAGAAATAGATTTCACCCTCGCGTCTAATTTAGAAGTTTGTCCTCTTTAAAAGTTTTTCTTATGAATTCCTCTGTGGACTTGTTTTTCTCCCTGGGCCTTGTCCTCCATTCTCTCCCAAAACTCCCTCCTGCCCAGGCTTTAATCCACTTCTATGTTGCTCTTTCCCCTCCTTTTGTTCTGCTTTTTTATTCCCTCGAATCTAATCTCTCAGTTGGCATGGCTATTCATTGAAAATGGTGGAAATTGCCAAAGCTCTACAGAAGGAATGTCAATTCAAGGAACAAAAGCCAAACAATACACAGTCAAGTCCTGCTAATATGATGAAGTTACTGTATGTGGTGTGAACATTTACAGCTGTAGGTATTTTAGGAGTATTTGAATCGATATTTATGATAACGTGCTGTATTCTTACTTCCCTGCAGACTGAAAAGCTGTCTAAAGATCTGGAAGAGGCCAAGACCAAAGTCGTCACAGTTACTGTTCCTGTGGCACCACCTGCCCCTCCTCTCCCCGGCCAACATGCAGGTATACCCCCTCCACCTCCTCTCCCACCTATGCCAGGCATGCCTGCTCCACCTCGCCCTCCTCCTCTACAGGGTCAAGCCAGTATACCTCCTCTACCAGGCATGCCAGGACCTCCACCACCCCCGCCCCTCCCTGGCATGGCAGGACCGCCACCCCCTCCACCCTTACCTGGAATGGGACCTCCACCGCCACCACCACCGCCTGGGTTTCCCGGTATCCCTCCCCCACCTCCGGGCCCAGGCATGCCTCCACCTCCACCGTTTGACATGGGGGGCTGGGGGGCCCCTGCACCACCCCAACTGCCTTACGGGCTCCAGTCTAAGAAGGACTACAAGCCTGAAGTCCAGCTGAAGAGAGTCAACTGGAGCAAGGTCGGTCCTGAGATAGATGGTTCAATATACAATCACTTTTCAATCACTTATCTGGTGACGTAAAGAGATTGTGGGAAAACTAAATGTGCAATTTGCGTTGCTTCTTCACATTTATTTTCTCCATTCTTTGACTCAACACGCCAGCTTTGATGAGGCACCTGTCCGCTAATATATCCTGCTGTATTCCAGCTCCTCATAAAACAGGGAGGGGTTTTATTCTAAATAATTCTAATGTGATTTATAGTTTGTGTGTATTTTACTGCGCTAAGTTTAACAGTACGGTCTGAAATAGCTGAGGGTGTTCTTTATTGTGTGCAACAGTGTGAGAGCATCGGAGCTCTAATAGTGAGATTCTGACCCAAAGTGACTCGCATGCAGACGTGTGTCTCATGACTATGTGCTTCATGTTCTTCTCCCCCCTCTCATCTGTGATGGTTAAAACATCAAAACGGCCCTCTGTCTTTCTTTAGCCTAAAGCTACTGTTTAATGGCTTCAGCAGACTTCATCAGCATTTAGCTTCTCTCTCTCTCTCTCTCTTTCTCTCTCGGGCTGGGGAGAGTGTTTGACGAGGATGTCACAGAAATTGCTTTTTAATAAGCCTTCTTCTTTTAACTGCGCCACTGAAAGATAATTAAATTGCTGCTAGAAAGGACAGTATTCTTTTGTAATTTAAATTAACTTTTTTTTTCTGGCTTGGTCTCATCCTTTTTTTTTTTTTTTTTTTTCGTACTCTCTTGCTTTTCTTTCTTGCTCCTTCAGCTCATCCCCATATCACATTCCCTCTCCCGACTCTGTGTCTTTTCCGTCCTTCGCCCCCATCCCTGAGGCTTTGTCCATAATGAAAGAACTGATATCTGTAAATTTACTACCACTGCTTTCTCTCTCGCTCTCTGTGTTTCACTTTCTCTCTTTCTCTTTCTCTTTAATGAGAGCACTCAGAAAGTGAAGGAAAGAAATCATACAAAGTTAATTTTGACTTGTGACCAGAAGAGAGAAATGGAGAGACGAGCAACAGCAAGACAAAGGGAGGGATACAGAGAGGGAGCGAGGGTGAAGAAAGAGGCCGCCTCTGTGTTTCTTTGCATCTCTGGGTGTGAAGCTCTGGATGCTTTGTAGTAGAGACAGTGTGCGAAGATTAGAGGAAATAACTACCAGTTTCCTTCTCTTTCTTTCCTCTTTGTGCCTTCCATCTTTCCTTCACCCTTCTCGACCCCCCCCCCCCCCCCCCCCCCCCCCCCCTCTATCATACTCCTGCCTCTTCCTTTTACAGCCCGGCTGTTTCGTTTGTTCTGCCGACTTCTTTATCTGCTCATTTCATCCTTTGCCAGGTGCACGGATGACCGTTTTGGGGAAAATTGAGTCAATTTGATGATATGGTTATCTAACAGATACAATACAGCTCTCTCTGCTTCATTTAATCTCCCCGTCTCCCTCGTTCTCTCTCTCTCCGTACATTCTGCCGTTTCTCTCCCTTAGATCGGACCTGAAGAGCTCTCTGAGAATAGTTTCTGGACCTCGGCGAAAGAGGAGCAGTTTGAAAGCAATGAGCTCTTTGCCAAACTCACCTTGGCCTTCTCCTCACAGACAAAGAGTGAGTGTGTGGCTTGTATGTTCCTTGTATGTTACTACTGCTGTCATCATGTTGTGTTTCACAGTAATCAGCGATGTCTTTTTCTGTGTCTCGCCTCTCCCACATCCCTCCCCTTCCATCCAATCCTCCTGCTTCCATCAGCCACTAAAGGTAAGAATATCACGCACCCACTTCCATTTAGTTTGTTTTTGTCACACATCCTCTCAACCTTTCCCTTCCCTCTACTTGGAGGACACGCTGCACATTTACATTATTCAGTAACGCTGTGTCAAAACAGCTTCTCACACCAGTTCATGAATAAACCACCCACACCTGTGTTTGTGTATGCGTTCAATCTTCTCGACGCGCTCCGAGACTTGTTGCGCAGGGACAGAGCGGCCGGGCGAGAGGAGTTGGGACTCGGGAACGGAGGGAGAGATGGACAAAGAGAGGAGGGCAGAGGGAGGGATAAGGAGAAGGTCACTGATGTCCTTTGACTAGCCACCTGCTGTCCTGGCACAAAGCGCTGACACACGGGCGTACGCTCGCACACGCACACCTGTCCACTCCTATCACCTTGTCCCGTTGTCACTGAGCCTTCTGCTCTAACTCCTCCATATTCATATCGTAACCAGGACACCAGGAAATCACAGACGGTGTGTGTGTGTGTGTGTGTATAATTCTATCTGACCTTCAGATTGAGACTCGGTACACATATGCCGACTCTTGCTCTTGCCATATACATAAACAGAAGCGCACATGCACACATGGCTGATGCTAGCCGTTGATGTCAGTTAAATGTCAGCGTCGGCAGCTGTCCCGTCTACATTCACCTGTATGGCGAGTCCTAACGTCCGCCTGTCACTCCTGGATTTGACCCCTTCACCCCCTTGGCTCGTGCACCCACGCCTCCACTTTTTATTGGCCAAGACAGCCGCTCGTTCCGGTTGATGTCTAATAACCTTTTCTGAGAGCGGACTATAAAGACACCGTGGCCTTTTCATAGGAGGGAGGGAGGGAGGGAGGGAGGGAGGGAGGGAGGGAGAGAGAGAGACCAGTGTTTATTACTCTGTAAGTGTTGTTGATTTTCTCCGTGTTTCTTGAATCTGTTGAGGTTTGGTTTAATAACACATTCTTCAAAACAGAATTGGGTTTTCATTGAGCTGTTGTGTAAGCGTCTTATTTTTTTTTCTCAGTGTGCATGTGATGTTTAATCCTCACTGTGTTAGAGTACATCTGTGTGGCTGTGCATGCATACATGCCCAATAAGCAACCAGCTCCGCTTATACAGACTGACCCTTCACCTCTTGTCCGTCCTTCTCTTGCTTAAACACCACTCGAGGCGTAATACATTCCTCCTGACCTCCCCATCCTTCTCCTAATCCCTCATTTCTGGAAGCCCAGCTTCACTCTTCTTCATCTTCCCTTTTTCCTCCTCCTCCTCTCGCACCTCCCTTTCCTCGTTACCCAGCAGACAGGCAGACAACACATCGAGCCACCGCTAACCCTTCCTGACCTTTCTTCCTCCTCTCGATCAGCTGCCCACAAGTGCTGCTGGGGTAGCACGCACACACACACCCACACAGAAAGAGACGTGTGTGTGTGTGGGAGGAGGGTAGTGTGCTCGGGGCAGGGTCAGGGGTGTTGACCTCTAAGGCTCGGTGGAAGAGCACAGAGCCGATGGTGGCAGACACGCCCTCTGGCTGCACATGGCTCTCATGAACACAATTCCACACTTTGACGCACGCACACACACACGCACACACACAGACAGTCTACATATATTTTGCAGTTTGCTGTTTATCTACGTAGTTGTTTTTATTTCCAATGTGTATTTCTCTAGCTATGTATCTGTTGAAAACAGGTTCAAGTTCAGTAGTTAAGCTCAGGCCAGTTGTCCTTGATGCTCCCGTCTACTTTCAGCTGCTGAGCATGTCCGACTTTAACCTCACAAATCCCGGCGCAATCCCGGAGCAAACTACAGAGAGGATCATTAAAACCTTCATTATTTGTATCTTCGGATGGATTTTGCCCCAACAAGAGCAGATTGTGAGATAATCCACTAAAGCTGTTATCGGACATGTAACATCAGTTTCCTTCTGTATCTGTATGCATGTCTAAATAATCTATAAGCATCTACAGCAAATATATCATAGAGAATTTTCTAAATCTTTCCTTAATTCTGTGGGTTTGGGTTGGTTTCTTGTTTGTTTTTTAATGTAGTAACTTCACAGAATAACGGGTGAACAGAGTCCAAGCACAGATGGTTTTTATGCCGATACCCATTGTTTTGGAAAGTGTAGGACAGTGACGAGGCTAGAATCCATATCCTTCTAATATGTGTAGATATGCTTAACTGTCCTTTTCTCACTTTTTCAGACTGGGTTCTATAGCAGGTGCCTTTTGAAGTCGGCACCTCAGATAGCCCAATTAGCAAAAGAATGAGAGAGTGAGAGGAGGTGGAGGAGGAGGTGGTGGAAAAAAAATGAAGAGTGAGCCGAGGGAAAGGCTGGGCTAGGGGGAACGTTGGTGATTAATTTGATTCGGGAGAGAAAAGAAGAGAAAAGAGCCAGGAGCATATATGATTATTAATCCTCATAATGTGAGGATCATTTTCATATCCCAATTCTCCAGCCTTTACACCCTAACCCTCGTCTGTGTCTCAGCCTCTACTGCTGTGTTTCTGTGGTCTGTTGTTGTACGACAACGTCATTTCTCCTTTCCACTGGAGATCCCCCCCCCCCCCACACCCACCCACCCAAAGGAGTCGCTTTGGGATGTCATCAATTGTATATCGCTGCATAACACACCTACACATGCAACAGCACCTTCCTGCATCGCTTTCTATGAAACTCCGATTTCTTTACAGATGAATGCGTGTTTTGTCAGTGCAAGAGGTGCCTGTGTGCTGGTGAGAGCGGAGAGCGTGGGTGGGTGAGCTCCACCGCATTTACAAACCAATTATAGTAAGCCTTTTGATCTGCCTGTGTTCTGAAGAAATCAATTTCCTTCTCCGTAGGTGTGCGTGTGTGTATATTTGTGTTGCTGAGTTCCCTCTTAGGTCTGCTCTATTCACTTTTCACCTTAATGAGCCACCAATCAGCAAGAGTGTGTGTGTTTGGCCATGCTTGCCTGCGGGCCTCTCTCAGGTTGTAGTCAGTTAAAGGGATGAGATATGTCATGTATTAGCAATGAAAGACCAAGAGGCGTGGAGCAATAAGGTGCAGTGTTGTTGATGAGGTCATTACGTCTTCTGCTAAACAAAGTTCACAACACTCGGTGACTTGTTTTTGTTACAGCGCACTCGCTCAAGGTTATTGTCAGCCGAAGGAAAATGTCCGTGCTAATGAAATAACTCCTGGCACTGTTTTGATTTTTATATTACAGCAAACTGATTGCAAGGCTGTTGCAAAACATGTCGGCTGTGTGATATATTGATTTACCCTTCAGTCATCTATGAGGCATAGTTCATAGACAATACATCGCGGTCTAGTGTCTCTTCTGGTTCTGTAGCTGATGGCCGTGCAGTTGCTGCTCAACACTTGACAGGCCTGATAAATTACTTGCAAGTTTTCGATGAAAATGACCACAGGTGAGAAATGGGGAGATGCTCCTTTTTACTTCAATGGGCTCCTTTCTTCCCTCCCTCCATCTCCCCCCCCCCCATCCCAGTTTCATAATCCCCACACAGCCCACTTCCAGAAGATGTTTGTTTTCCACTGTTGGATCCCCTCTGGGTCACAGCCAAGAAGCATTTGTGAGTTGCATTTGAGTTTGTTGTGTACATTTGTGTGCGCATAATTAGGGAGAGTTTCAGATAAGAGTTTATGGGGATGTGTAGACTCGGAGCTGCTGTCTCCTCAGACTGTTTAAAATATGCACTAATAAAGCACTTAGACGACTAAATGAGGAATGGGCACACTTTATTAAGCCATGAGAGTGTTTGTGCGATTGTGCTAAATTAGTATTGGCTTTGAAAAGCGTGTGTGTGTGTGTGTGTGTGTGTGTTTGTACTCGTGTAGCGCACAGCGGCAGGCCCTGTTAATAAATCATGCAGTATTCAGGCTGGGGCTGTAGAAAGAAGCAGGTTAATGCAAAGGTCACTAATGCTGTAGAAAATACCAAAGTATTCTTTCCTTCTATTCATTCCATTTCTGGATGCAGCCGTTTCTTCTCTTACCTATTTTCACCCCCTCCCCAACACACACACACACACACACACACACACACACACACACCTTTTTGCCAACAACAAATGGCCAGACGATTGGATGACTATGCTCAGTGGTGTCTGTGAGGGACTTAGATCAAAACGGCACCTACAGCCCATATATATAGACTAGCTTTTCAATATGCAGGTAGAACCTGTACATGAAAGATTTGATGTTTTCGGGTTGTGTTGCGTTTATGTGTACCGGTGCTTAAGTTTAAAATCCCAACTATACCTCTTAAGCCCTTAACAGTAGCGTTGCATTAGGCTGGCTCCGCTCTGCTCTCTAAGCCGCGGTGTGTATTCTCAGTGCGGCAATAGCAAGCGCTCCCTCATTCACCGTCTCTTTATGGTTCAGGAACAGCCGTGAAACGCCGCTCAATCATCAGGCCTTATCAGGTTCAAACACATCTGTGTGTGCTCAAATTGGCTCTCATTGCCAAAAGCAACAGCTCTCTCACATGCACAAGCAGAAATATACACATGTAAGCGCACACACACACACACACTCACACTCGTACATGCTTTTGTCCCACTCATTCTCTTCATTCCATCCCTCCCTCGTTATATCTCTCTCCTCTGTTTTACATGCAAATGAGCTAAGCATACTCATACCGTAGCATTACCGCTGTGTGTGCCTAATCTCCTTGCTGCCTTTTCTCTTTCCTGGAGATTATCCTGTTTTTAAACGGAATAGGCTTTCTTCGCTTCACTCGGCTCCTCTCCCAACCAGCCAGCCAGTCGGTCAGCCAGCCAGCGTTCCAGTGTCTCATCCGAACACCATTACCATTTCAATGTTCCCAGTGATATGACAGCAGCGGCTGAGAAAGCCTGTGTGTGTGTGTGTCTTTAATTGAGGGATTGGCTGATAGACTCAAAAGCTTGTTACAGATGCTAAGTATCCCCAGTGTTCACGATTCGGTCTCTTTTCACCGAGGCCAAGAGGAAAAAAGAAAAAACC